TTGGAGAGTGTGGGTCGGTGGGCCGCTATTTTTCATGTTAACTTGTTTTCCTTAAATTTCTGTTAAATGAAAATTACTACAATGTTTCTCCTTTTCAACCTATTATTTTGATGCACTGAAGTATATGAAATGAATGGTAATGTAGTAAAACCATAACTAAATCACAAATAAAGTCAAACATTCTTATGAATCTATAATATGGCACATAAAAACATGTATTGCAATGTATATTTTTTTATTATTTTTACTTGAAATAATATAGGCTTAGGGCTACTGAATGTTTTAGCTACTGATATCTGACTGCAGAATCTCGTTGCAATTAGTTTACATAGCTCCATAATCTTGTTGACGTTAATCTTTAGTTGTTGCTTAATAAAACTTAATTATATTAATTATATTTTAGTATTTGCTTATAATTTATTATGTTTTCTCACGATGAGCTTATTTTGACCTTTTATTTCTGTACTATTTTAGGCCAACAAAAAAGTTTTTTTCCAAGCACTACTAACCCAAAATCTGTTTTTTTTTTGTTTTTTTTTATGCCTAGGAAGAATCCAAAATGCTTACTGTTAGTGGATGTTGTTTGAAAAAAAAACACACACATTTCAAGCCTTAGTTATGAATGTGATTTAGCATTTAATGCTGCTAATCTTTTTTTTTTATATACATTAAGTGGATCAGTCGATCTATCTCTTATAATCATGTCAGAGTAATTATATTTCCAAAAGTACCTTTAAGACATCATTCTTATAGGCTTCTGTTTCATTTTTATAGTTAATATTTTAAAGTTTTTAGTTCTTTTTGTTCACTGATTATGACTGTGTGATAACAGCTGAAACATGTTCTAGCTGATTAAATCTTTGTTTATTGTTTTAAAATTTGTGTTGTTTATTATATCTTGTCGATATTTTGGATCCATTATTCACGATTTGAGTTACAGCAGTTATGTTAGTAAGGGTGAAGACTGGAAAAACTTGCTAATAAATGCAAAAAAGCTGAAGCTGTATACAGCTAAACTTGCCTAATTCGACTTTACCTAACTCGAATAATTTCTAAGTTGATCTTATTTTACATGCCAAATAGTTGTGTTTTCCATTAATTAACGATCTGTAAGTCAAATTTTATATGTCAAACAATTATTTTTCGATGCCAATTTGGATTAGGCAAGTTCAACTTTATTCTACTGTACTGTTTTCTCACGATGCGCTTATTTTGACCTGTTATTTCTGTACTATTTTATGCCAACAAAAAGTTTTTTTCCAAGCACTACTAACCCAAAATCAAAAATAGTTGTGTCTTCCATTAATTAACGATCTGTAAGTCAAATTTTATCTGTCAAACAATTATTTTTCGATATTTGGATTAGGGCAAGTTCAACTTTATTCTGCTGTACTAGAGTTGGAGCCGTTATTTATTTCAAGTTCTAATCGTTGTACCAAGGGCCTCAAAAGAGACCACTTACAATTTTTGACTGATTAAGGCAACTTGTACAGTAATATACTCTGAACAGATAAATATAATTTGATATTCAATGTTTTAAATTAATTTTGAGGTTTTTAGAGATTTAATAACAGAAGATATCTTTAATCCTTCTTTTGATTACGGTATACAGTAATTGTCTTGTATAAAATGATTATCCTATAGAGTGTTTAGTGATACATACCAGCATATCTGCCGTAGGCAACTGCAGTGCAATTTCAACACATTCGTATTGTGGGCAAGGGTCAGACAGGTCAGCGTTGGCTATGGGAAGTATTACTTAATGAAGTACCGTGGGAATAATAGTATATTGTATAAAGAAGTTTGTAAAAATAAACAGATATACCTATCTCAGATGATTGTTGAGAATAAACATATAATTTTATGGCCCTGTTGGTTGTTTTTGTTTGACATTACTTTCATTTTCCATTTGTCTCATATAAGTTTTGACAGTCATCAAAGTACAGTATTTTCTTTTTGCTATTGTCAGCGATCTTTGAGCATAAGTATTTCATATAGGATTTTCTATATATTATTGAAACCAGATAAAAATATTTTATTATATAATGTATCGGACTCTGTTTTCTTTGATGATATCTCCATGGTTATGAGTTTCCATAACTACCATTGAGATATCATGATGGATGCTTATGAGGGAATTTATTGATACTAATTTTTATCTAATTAGCATAATTATAAATATACTGTATTACCATTACCATGTGAATCTTTACATACTGATGTATACTATATCTGTACTAGTAGTTTAGCCCATATATTTAAGACATTAATTCTCATTTTATTATAATCATTTATGTATCCCTATTTTGTGTAGCCTTCAATACTAAATTTTAATGTAATTAGATAATAAATGTAATACTAAAACTTCATTACATTCTTAAAAGGATAACTTCCTAGAATGGAGTTATTTTTTTGTCTTTTTTTGTGGAAGGTTCCATACTCAACAGTGATTTATTTCACTTCTTCAGGAATATGTCTATAGTAGGCAGGTTTATGTTTGAATTTACTTACTGTATGTCTTCACTCCTGCCATTTTTATAAATTTTGACGCATAAAACAACTGATATCAATTTGTACTAAGAGAGAAACATAGGAGTAACCATACTCTGTTTTGTTCTGAACTTGATCATTTCATTCTATATTCACCAAAAACAAACTTAACATCTGTCCCCAAAGGCTTTTATGCATTTTCACCTTTTCTCTAAACAAACTTCCCACTGTCATCTGTTATGCTCCAGCTCTTTCTCAATTCAAATCTCTTCTTAAAACTCATGTTTTTCCATAGTTGTACTTTGTAAGCACTGTGGGTAAAGAGCATTATTAATGGTAAAGTATTATTATTATATACTTATAAGTGTACGGGCTTAAGAGACCGGGAAAGGGGAAGGAATTCCGGAAATTCCCAACCCAAAGCCTCCACTCAGTGTTACTGGGGATGCCTTATTTCCATCTTTTTCATCCTTGTTGAAGTGTTCAACATTTTAAGTCAAATTCTTCTAAGTTTACACTTTTGGTTGATTTCCCCGTGAACAGTAAGTAATTGGTTACTGCAGCCTAAACATGCATATTATTCAACCCACCTATTACTAGTATTTCATTTGTCAATAACGAGGATTCAAACACAGAGAATATGCTAAGATATTCTGTTAAGCGATGTGAATATAATACGTTTTAAATAATTATTCGTGTCCTTGCACAGTTATGAATTCCTGTTGACTAAACTGGTGCTGGAAGCTGCGTGTGCAGCGTGTACCACAGGGACCGTTGAATCCCTAGTTTAATTTCATCTTTGCTTTTTTGTTTACAGTTAGAGGACTGATATATAAGTTACTATTAGTGTAGTCTTCTGGAAAATACATTTAAATTTTCAAATGTTGGTCCCTTGTGTGTTGAAGTTGAAGCTAGCTTGCATGTAATTCCTCCAGTTATCTGGTATCTAGATTACCACATTTACCTTGTGGGTGTAGCAATGACTTTTAACTGTACCAGGATAGGAAGCTTGCCGATCTGGACCTTCTGGCCTGGTTCTAGGGTTGGTGCACTATTGTTTATGCTAATGAGTCTTTAGACAAGTTCTGCACATCTCAGATGGAATAAAATCTATCTCTCCGTTGTTGAACCAAGGAGTTCTCTGTATTTTGTGACTTGAAATAATAGAATATTAGCATTTATGAGCAATATATTTTCATTTTATATAGGCAAGTAGTAAATATGTGGTTCATTTGTAACATACTAGATAATTAAGTCTTCAAAATAATAGTTGTTTTTACTCCTTTCTGCATATTTTATACACAGATTTTTAAATGGCTAAATGTCCTGAGACATCATTGGACTGGACAGAAGCAATATAGAATAGTTTACCCTTTCCTAAGGACACTAATGTCCTCAGAACCTCTCAATTGAAAGCCCAAATCCTGAGTGCTATGTTTTGTCTCTGCACTATGGTTTGATTGTCCAAGTGCCCATCTTCCAATTAAAAGGCTGAGGTTCAGTCCTGGTGAAATATGTAAAGATTTGCACAACCAAATAAAACTCCACTTCCTAAGCTGCACTACTCTGCTTGGATCACCTTTTGTTTATGGCTATCAGAATCTGATATCATTTGTACTGGTACTTTTCACATCAATTAATTACCGAGCTATAATATTTTATGAAGGATTTGTATAGGCTGTATATTGCATGACATGTATTAATATATTGATTGATTGATGATTGATTGATTGATTTTATTCAGTATCAGTACCTACAAAAATACAAAGCAAATGACAGGGAATGCATGATTCTAGGCATGACCCAAGAAAGGTTAAAAAGATACCGTATTTCCGTTGGGATCCTTAAATTAAAGAAGAGAATACAAAACACAGAAGTAAAAAATCAGGAAGATAAAAGAACGGCAATGACGAACAAAAAGAAGTAAAAATGGATGCTAATAAAGATTGCAATGACGTGTAAGAATTCAATTTAAAAGTTTAAGAACATTTAAAAATAAGGAAGTTTAAACATTAAAAAAAAATGATGAAAGTTTACAAATTTTAAAGTGTTTAAGATTTATCAAGTGGTTGGATTAGACATATGAAGTGGTTAATGTTCAAAATGTATTCGGGGACCTGAACTCTTTCTACCTTGGTATCTGAAGCTTTCTGCTTGCACGCTAGAATTCTGCCATCCCCCTCAGTAATAGTAGTTAAATATAACTTTAGAAATGACGATTGTGTATGAAGTAATAGTAATATCATAATTAAGAATATAAAGTATTAGAGTTTCACTTTGGTTATTACTTTCTGATAGTGTGCAGAGCTTTTGAAAGGGTTAGAAATTCCTTTTTTTTTTTTTTTAATTGGAGCAGTGCCAACAATTGCCTTTACATTTAGATGTTATAATTTTCTATAAATATTTACACTACCATATAATGCAAGAACCTTGATATAGTGTAAAAAATATGTTTAAACTTATGATTAACCAAGAAATGTTTATTGTCATTCTTTTTACTTTTCTTACAGTTTTTAAGACTTGGAATACAATTTAACAAGAAGAGTGATAAGTTTGGGCTTTCAAAAAGGTATGTCATGTAACAATATTCATCTATATTTGCTGGATTTTTAAAGCACATTTACTTGTTCCATACTGCTATGGTAACTACAAATTTGGTGCAGCATAACATTGAATCCTACATTATTATCATAATTTGCACACCATTCATCATTAGACGTTGCATGTTCCACAATAGACCTTTCCAAGAGTATCAATCAAACTTAACAACTGACCAATCAGAACAGCGCTAGGAATGTGTTGTCCCACAAGAGCATGTGTTCTCGTATGTTTTAACACTGTTGTCTTGTGGGACCTTAGCAACAGTATCCAAGGGGCGGGGCTTAGCGGAAAGGTCAATTGTGAGCCAGTAATTCGTGTCGTGGGTCAGATGTATGTCATGTGCTTGGTGATTTTATATGGCGATCGTTTAACCCTTATAGTTTTCTTTAAGCGATATTTGGGTTGCAGTATTTTTGAAGATTCATATTTAACGTTGAATTGAACCTATTCCTATATTTCAATTATTCATTATTGATTGTTAACGTTTGCATGTTATCGTCTAGCTGATTTCGTGCCGTAAGGAGAACAGAAAATATGGAACCACAAAGCACCAGAGCTTTGAAAGAGGGGTTCAAAATGTTTCCAAAAAACCCTAAAAAAGAAAGCATGGCCTGAAGGTCCCCTGGGAAAATTTTGATTTCTAGATGGCCGGAAATGAGCTTTAAGTTCTTCAAAACTCAATGGTTTTCCCCAAGACCCAGTAGTATTTTGTTACGTTTCTTCACAGATGGGGGTCTGCCACTGCATGAATGATAATAGCTTTGTGATTAAAATTCTAGTGTTGTCTTGTCTTCTTTTTTACTTGACCTTCTAACCATCTTTCACTTAATTAGCACACATTTATAATGGGCTTTTATTCAATTCATTGGATTCATTATAACAAGACTTTACTTTCAATATACTTGTTTACTTGTATTTTATAAGCTCTAGATACTGTACAAGACTGACCTTCTTGAAGCAATATTCTTCTAATAAGCACAGCTAATCAAATTATGCAAATAAGCTCATTACCTATTCAAATGATTATTCCATTATTCATAATCTTGTTCATCTTTAAAAGACATCAGTTCTTAGTTGTTATATTGGACAAATGAGTTTATCATATTTTTCATATTGTAATTTAATTATTGGATTGGATTTAACTTTATTTCATAATTTCTAGGAATTAAATTTATTCATAAATTAATGGGGATTAATTATGTATTTTTCGTTTTAGTAAGAAATTATGAGAAACATTTCTAATTTTTTCATATAGAATTTCATTAAATGCCATATTTCTGTGAACATCATGCCTTTTGATGTAATGACAAACAGGAACAAGAAAACATGTACAAGTGTAGCTATCCTAACTTTCCTACTATGACCATATATATACTTGATTTTAGTTAAAATTAAATGCTCACTCATGGGCTTTACTATAGCTATTCCAAATATTTTGATGGACAGCGCCTCGTAAGTGCAAATCTGGAAGTGGGACAGCTGTAACCCTCTAAACACTACTTATCTATACCTAAACAAGCGTACAATATTATGTAGATGAGCACTACTGTACAAGTATTGTACATACTCCTATTAGAGAGTGACTTTACTACTAGTCATAAATTCACAGTTGCAGCTGTAGAAAAATTAAGATGGGCAAGGTATTTTTACGGGTAGGTAGGTAATAACATTAATAAATTCTGAATAATAAGATTGGATTTTAAGGATGGAAAAGTGGATTAATAAGGGTGAGTAGAGGGCCATGAAATTAGCTTTAGACTGTGTGGAAAACTCCAAAGCTGGCAGCATTACACCATTACACTGACAGTATCTAGTAGTAAGTAGATGTGTCATTTGTAAATGCTTTATGTGTGGAATTAAATCTACCTCAGCAGGGATTAAAGCAACACACGTGTACCGATCTTTTATTATAGCCATCGAAAGATAGTTTGATACATGTGTTTGCATTGCGATAAATTTCTGTCATCCTTGTACGCTGAACATTCATCAAAATTAATGTGTAGGAAATCTGCAATATATGATGGTTAGAATGCGTATCGGGTTAACGCACCTGTTTGTTTGCTAAGCCAGGCACTCCCTGCGCACGACGGTCGTTGGCAGATGCGATTATATGATGAACGCAACACGACGACGTGCGTAAGTTTGCAAAACAAGGTATCAAAAGAATCGCGCTATATTTAGATTACACATACTGTATTCACTACTTTTACCCACTGTGTTACATTCTATAGGTCATCCTGTTTTCCTACACTAAAATAATAATATTTGTTTAATTCACTGTACAGCTAAAGCCAATTATACCAGTATCATCACAAGTGTAAAGAAAAAGGAAAATTCTAACACAGAACATAAAATAATATTTCTGTCTTAGAAATTAAAATTTTTGATTGATTTAAATTTTGTTATATAATAATGAAATAAAAATCTTGAACATTTTCAACATTTGGGAACCAATGACTTTGGAATTAGAACTCATCATAAGTTATGATTATTTAAAATTTAATGTTTGTCGAAAAAAAATAATTAAAATACTGAATTGTACCTTCATATTGTTATTAATTATTAAAATTTACCTGTCAAATACCTGTAGAGGATCCCTTGGACCCAGATGTTTTAAATGCTGTAATTTGTTGCTGAAATTAGCAACAAATATGTTAGCATTTTGTAAAGAATTTGTTAAACTCTGTTCATAGTGATTTATTGTTTAAATGGTTTATGATAGGCAGGTAAAAAGAAATACTATAAGTATTTTCTGACCTAGTTATATTTTGTAGTATAGGGAAAAACATAATTTTCAAGCTTTCTATTATGAATATATGAAGGTCTCCCTCCAAGTAAAGACCACTTCTGGTCCGGGATTCCCATGATTGTTTACAGCTTTGGTCTCTAATTAAAATAATAAAATAATAGACATTTTTAGAGATCTTTTATTGGAGGTGGTCCAATAATTGGAGGGAGAAAAATTTGTGGATACCGTATTATAGGCAGACGTGGATCCAGTAGGGGGTTGCTCTCCGTCTCCGTTTGCCACTAAAGTTGAAAAATTTCAATGCATATTAATGAAGTGTACTCTTACTTATCTATTCCGAAAATGCTGTGCCCCCCTCCCCCGTTTGAAAATTCTGGATGCGCGCCTGATAGGATTAATGACATCATGTCCTTATATGGACAAATCACAAATTTATCTTGTGAAACTTCTGTAGCGTAGTGCAGAGGTTTAAGCACCCAGAAAATCCTGCATAAATGAATTCATTTGAATAAAACATGAGAGAAACAAAAGCCATTGATCTAAGATGAGGATTTAGTCTTCTAATTTTCTTTCAAAACAAATCAGTTGCTGTTTTTAATAATTAAAGACTTGTTTACTTCCTACGTGTAATCAGTATTCTTGGATAAAATCCATGGCATTTTCCTGAAGTGCTGAAGTCTCTTGTAAGGACTCCCAACGATTTGTTTTTTTAAGTGTGACCTGAATTGACCGACCTGGTCAATCCTAAGAAATAACTCATTGGTTTATTTTTGAAAAAAACAATCAGTACAACTTATAATAATGTTATGTTGACATACAGTCAGCTCTTCTATAACATACAGTACTGCACTGTTGAGATAAACATAAAATTATTGAAATTAATATTAAGTTGCTCTAATAGCACAATGTGCTGTATAAATTTCCCTTTATTATTATTAGGAACATGTCAATAAAAATATTTTATTATGTTAATATTTGTTGTACTATCTAAGCAAATTGATTTTATTTCACTTCCCTAAGCATAATAGTTATCAATATTCTTTTCCTCCCCCTCCCATTTTAATTACAGTAAGATACTCGGGCACATAAATTTGAAGCTAGTTATAATATTTTATATTTAGCATTTCAACAAAACAAGGGTTTTCGCTGACCCTGCAACCTCCAATAACATCATTTAGCAAGAAATTTTACCAGAATGTCAAGATGGCTCTGCAAGTTAACAAAAGAAATCGGTTTCACATTTCGATCTCCAACAGTGTTCAACATGCAAAGATAACAGCCAGCGTTATTTAGGACTGTCTATCAGATTTTCCTTGCAAATAAATATGTCATAAATTTTGAAGGGTTCATCTGAACAAAATATTTTTCAATACAAAAAGAAATGAATTTTCTTTTATCCAATTCATAGCAAATGTAAACTGTTTTATGATAATTTACATTGTCTCTAGAGTAAGAATCAAAACCTGTGTCTGTAGTATATGAACCACTTTAGCAGGAAAGTACTAGTCAATAGCTCTAATCTAAGGCCTTCAGGTTCAGCTGCAAGGGTTACACTCTTATAAATAATGTTGGGGAAAAAAATGGGGAGACTTTTTTTTATAATAATGGTTTTGAATAAAAATAAAATTTTATTTTTTATTAATTAGCAAACCCAACGCCACAAAAAATGGAAATTTATGAAAAAAACAATAGAAGTTTTATTTATTTTTATTATATCTGCTGTTGCCTTGAAATCTCCAAAAATAAGATATGTATATTTCTTCCTGTTATTATAAATTTAAAGCATTTAACCATCCCATTACTACACTGTTTGCATTCACCAATAAAATTTTAATTTATTTTCTCTTCTATCTGGATGTTTTTGGCAAAACCATTTGCTAAATAAGAAAACAAAATTTGATTTTAATTTTTTTTTCCACCTTCCTCAGACTATCTTTAAAAAAAGTTCGCGTAACAAGGTATCAAAAAAGTCTCGCCTAATTATGCCTATTTTGATACCACTACTGTTGAACATGAATAGTTCATATTAACTACAAAATTGTTGATCCTATTCTTTCCATTTATTTGTAAAATACAACCAGTAATTGTCTGTACAGCTTTTCTTGCACTTGCATGTTACCATGGTTATCAAATATATTATAATGTGTTTGAAGTGTTGCCAAGGTAATGATATTATGAGTAGTACTGAAAGCATCGTCTATCATATTGTCTGCTTATTT